GTGACACACAACATGCCTTTATGTTAAAATAAAATAAAACCACTTCTCACAAAGAACAAGAACATGGTCTTCTTTTTAATGAAATACCAATAGTTATACAGGCTAATTATGCATACTTTATAGCAACTTGTTTGTTTACCATATTCTTCATTCTTTCAAGCAGACATATTTATTTCTATAAATTTAGATTAATCTTTCAGGCTACTAAAGTTTTTCAATCAAGAGCAGTGCGTGATTTTCTGTCTTTCTGTTGTTTCTTGATTAACATCAATGACTCAGACAATAGCAACTAAATTAGGCTGCTGTCCCTTTAAAACCGAATGCACAGCTGCAATGGATGCAATGTACCGATACACGTTCTCCCTACTGTTTACGTTCACTTAAGATGTAATCAACTCTGTTTACATGAATACTAATCAAAACGGATAATTCAACATAATTTTGTGTGTAATTCTCCGTTCATGCGACGCAAAAGAGTATTCGCGCGCTGTGAGTATTCGCGCGCTTTGTGTGTACGGTGTCTGCGCTCAGAAAACCGGACCGAATTGAGTTCTCTCTTGCGTTGTCAGATTTATCCATGTGTCTGCTCTTTTTTTCCACATTTGTTTTACGTTTTATGCGACGTGCAGCAAGTGTATTTTAGCTTATGTCCCGCCGGTTCATATGTAGGCCTACGCATAACCTCAGAGCCACACAGCAGATTCGTTCTGAATTAATCTCATCCCAAATCTTCCCTCCCTAACATTTTCGTCTCGTTTTGATTCGTTGACGAAAATGTCAGTAGATTTACATCATAGTTTGTCATTCAAAAAGAGTTTGTTCATTATCGTCTCGTTGTCGTCTGTGAAAAAAATGTTGTTGTCGACAATTATGACAAATTATTCATCAATGAAATTAACACAGATAGGAAGAACGTCTCAGGTTACTTATGTAACCAGAACGAGAACCAAAACAAGACACTGCGTCCTCTAGGGGTCGCTATGGGGAACACCTTCAGTGTGACCAATGTCTGAAGCATATATCTAAAAACGACAATAATATTGGCCGGCGACAGCCTACGACGTCACTACCGGTGCGACTATAGTATAAATAGGCGCTGGGAGAACACGTCATCCGCTTCTTCATCTGAAGCTTGTGTCTGGGAGAACACGTCATCTGCTTCTTCGTCTGAAGCATGGCAGGAAACCGAAAGGACGCAGTGTCTTGTTCCCTACTCAGGGAACCATGGTTACGTAAGTAACCTGAGACGTTCCCTTTCAAAGGAACTTCGAACTGCATCCTCTAGGGGTCGCTATGGGGAACGGTATACCCACGCCACCATGCTGAGGGGAGTGCATGCCAGTAAACCACAGCGAGCACTAAGTAACAACACTACCATAGCCATGGGAGTTGCCCCTGGGACGTTAGACGGCTGTCAGTGACATTATCCCCTATGGCCAAAGGCCTAGGCTACATAGCCCAAAAACTTACCTGTTAGGGCCAGAACTC